TTGTAGCAATAGCCAAAAATACATTCTATGGGTCAAAATTATCGATTTTTCTTTTATGCCAAAAATTATTAGGATATTAAGTATGAAGTATGTTCCATGAAGATATTTTGTAAATTTCCTGCCGTAAGTATATCAAAACTTAATTTTTGATTAGTAATATGCATTGCTAAGAACTTCATTTGGACAACTTTAAAGGCGATTTTTTCAATATTTTGAATTTAGATTTTTGTGCACCCTCAGATTCCAGATTTTCAAATAGTTGTATCTCAGCCAAATATTATCCTATCCTAACAAAAAGCTTATTTATTCAGCTTTCAGATGATGTATAAATCTCAATTTCGAAAAATTGACACTTAAGACTGGTTTTGTGGTCCAGGGTCACATATCAACAACACTTTTCTAAATTCCTGACCTTTGCCCCTTTTCTTGATTCACGTTAGTGCCAGAATCCAAGTGCAGAACGTTGCATGCAAATAGTGCATTTAACATTGTTTTTATCCCTTATGAACAGCGAATTTGCATTGATAACGATAACACAAATGTTTTGGCTCACGACTAATCGCCTCCTAGTACCCCATCAGTGGGAAAAATCAGACTTAATCTATTTGGCAACGAGTTAATGCATTGATTCAGCGTAATTTTCGGGAAACGGACAAAGCTCAGTGCTGTCCAATGAGAACAAAGCAAACAGGCAGCTGGAAATGCAATAACAACAGCCTTCAGATGCTCCCAACCTCCAAATGTGTTCGAAAATAAAGTGCAAACCAAAACAAGCGCATTTTATGTCATACACAGGCATAAACAAGGTCAAGAATGGATTGTTTTTCTATGTGAATGACGGGATATTTTTGGAGATTCCTGGGCTGTAAGAGTAGCCTCTTGATCTGCCGCTAAAGTTTCCTTGGTTTCCATGAAGTCCCCAGGCTTCATTGCAAACTGATCTGTCCGTGTGAAGTCAACAAGGCTCTCACACCCAGATGCAAACCCTTGAACGTCATGTCTCCATGTAAGGAAGCCTCTCTAAGGACAGATAGACGCAAATATCACTGCTGCTTTGTTTGTGCAATGTAATGTAGTGACTCCTTTTTCATTTCCAATGTTTTCTTTTGCTCTCTACAGACATATCTGCCATTTAGGAGATAATTCACTTTAATACATAATTCAATATATCAAAAACTAGTTACTGATTTCCTTAACGTTTTATCTTTCAGGCAGCTTTCAGGCAGAAATCTTGCCATTCCTAGAGTAATTGAGTGTCGTTAGCCTACACCTGTTAAACTGGATTGTACTTTTATTCCAAACATATGGTTTTCAGATCTATTTCAGGAGATTGGCCTACTCTTTTTGCATAAAACTTGTTTAACTTCTAAACCTCTAATCTGAGTCTCCGATCTTGATTCATTTTTTTTCTGTAGATCTCTTTTATCGAATTACTATGTAATCCAGTCACACTGGATTTCATAAGTAACTGTAACTGAATTACACATTTTTAATGATTAGTTACATTTATTTTGTAATTAAATTACGTATTGCCGTAACATGTAACTAGCTACTCCCCAAGACTGCACTTCAGCTTAACAGTCAACTTAAAAAAAGCTATTCACTTACAGTTCCTAAAGAACGCGGTTTGCTCCACTTCGATGCTTGTAACAGTTTTTAAACATGCGTTTGACGTGGCCCTACACACTGTATTCGACCGTTATTTGCTGTTTTTTTGCATCGATTGCATGAAAGTTACATTCTTCAGACGTTCGATCTTTAAAACAATTTGTCAAAAACTGAATTTGCGTTCTGTGAGAAAGGTCGTGCACTGCAGGTGCCTATTGTGTAGGATTCATTTGTAGCCTACATGCTATTCCAAATGTCTTCACAATCTATCAATATTTAAAGGAGTCATATGACGTTGCTAAAAAAGAACATTATTTTGTGTATTTGGTGTAATGAAATGTTTTTATGCGGTTTAAGGTTAAAAAAACACATTATTGTTTCTCCTCTATGCCCCGCCTTTCTGAAATGCGTCGATTTTTACAAAGCTCATCGGTCTGAAAAGCGAGGTGTGCTCTGATTGGCCAGCTATCCAGTGCATTGTGATTGGCTGAATACCTCAAGCGTGTGACGGAAATGTTACGCCCCTCACCATATTGTGATGATGCCCTGTCCGGCCGGAGCGATGATTCAAAAACATTAAAACCCATTCTAAACGAGGCATGTGTTGCATTCAATGGGGACATAATTACGGATTATAATGACATATACTGTCTTTTTACACGTTGCGTTGCATCGCGCCGCGTAAACATAAACCATGTCTGCATTTGTGATCGGAGAAATGACGAACGACAAGCGCTACTCTACACTGCTCAAAACTCATGTTTCAATCGTCATGACATGGTGGTGGCAGCAACAATAAAATTACGCCTTCTTTCTTTGCGTGAACATTTGGGTGGCGTTATGCAAATCTTCTGACATAGTGACGTAGACATGTGGGGGCGTGTTTAAACGAGGCGTTTTAGGAGGGCGTGGACGAGTCTTAACTTTTATAAAGAATATCTCTTTGGGTTTGAGACTTTAGTTTTTGCAACTTTAGGGATCTTATCTATTCACGAACAGCTTGCAACACTCCAAAGAGAAAGGAAAACTTGAAATCGCATCATATGACCCCTTTAATACCTTACCTACCTCTGAAACGACCTTTCTTTTTGGCTGACGTCGGCATTCCCTGTTTTTTTAACTCCTCCCATCGAACAACCTCGAAAAAAAAGAAGAAAAAAAAAAGCAGGTCGCGCGTATGTATCATTGAATATCTTCTTGTTTGACCCATTTTAAAAGCGTTTCCTGAAGAAAGAAACAAATAGAGGTTAAATTAGCAGGTGAATCAGTAGTGCAGGAGATGAAACGCTACACAAACAAACACACACAGGTGTACTGATACAACACTATCTGATGTAAAACAGGCCTTGTAGATCTGCAGTCTCATGTGCTTTTGTTAGCCATGAGCTCAAAAATCTTTAAATTGTCATAAAAGAAAAACTAAAGAACCTTTGTGATGTGCCTCTGTTTATTGTGCAGGTTCTTAATGATAAGTGATTGTACTGCGAGTCACACACAAAATCACCATGTGCTATGTTTCCATGATCAGGTGTTCCCGATATAGTGCCATGTTTAAATAATAAAAACTCCTCACGTCTTCCAATACAAAAGGTGTGTTAATGGCAATCAAAAGAATGCAGTTCCACAATGCTGTGTTTATAGACGATTGCCCTTCAGCAAATACTGTTCTTTCATAAGTGCAACTTTTGCTTGTCTGTGTCATTCCAGACATAGAGCCTTCAGTATCATCAATCTAAAACATATGAAAACATGAGAAAGTTCCTGAACGCTGTGTGACGGTAAACTTTTGACGGCAGCTTTGACTTGCAACAGAATGGGAACTCCAGTCATCAAACAGTGATCACTTGCTGAGTTCTTGTTCCTGTTTCACTTGTTCATGTATACAGTGATAAAATAATAAAAACCCTGTGGGATGTTCTCATGAAAAAAATTACATTCCTCTAAAGTTTATAACATGACCTCAAACAAGTTCAGTCAGGCCTATATTATGCTGGTGCAAGTTTGTATGTGATACTTTAAAATAATTATACAAATAAAATATTTCTGTAATACTGGTGGGATTTTATAAGAATGGAAGCATTTCAGAAAACAGTACAAAAAAAAAAAACACAGATCAGAACACTTCCCATAGTGATGCTTTTCAAAAGTACCAGATTCATTTATCGGTGATTTGTGGAGAGCAGTGAAAGAATCAACTCTTTATGAGCAGGACGAAACTCTTGTGTCTTTTGTTTATTGATGTCAAAGGCAGCACATCTCAGTATTTCGAAGGAAACTCATCAGCACCTTTGCAGTTGCAAGCCAAATTGGGAAGATGGCAATTTTGTGCAATTGTGTTTTGTAAAATCATAATAGATTTTAATGTTTGAAGACCATTTCTAAATAAAAGTAAAAAAAGAAAAATTCTGAGTTAAAGATGCTGTTGTGTTAAAGATGCTAAAATCGCATTGTACTATTGGGAGATGCAGGCGTGGTTTCTCAGACAGGGCTTAGACTAAACCAGGATTAGGCCATAGTTCAATTAGGACATTTAAATAATTTGATAAACGTGCTTTAGAAAAAACATTTTAAGATCAGTCAGTGCAAGTTTCTTTCAGTTGAAACAGCTCAGAATTACATTTTAGTCTGGGACTAGGCTTAAGCCTTGTCTGTGAAACCAGGGGGAAAAATCTCAAATCGCAATTATGATATATATATAACCTGCAGTTATAGAAAAGAAAGTCATAAGGCATATAAAGTTGCAAAGTGAATGTGAGATTTAAAAAAAAAAAAGGGGTTAATGCAATTTTTTTTGCATTAAACAGTTTTTCTGCCTCCTTTGATTTAAAAATCTATGATGCAATTGTGATATTAAAATCACATTGTACAACTGGGAGATATAAAGTTGCAAATTCAAGAGGTCGTAATTTTGATATATAAGCTGCAATTATTAAAAAGAACGTCATAAGACAAACTTATAAGATAAGAAGTGATATTTTTGTGGGGGGGGGGGGGGGGGATCTCTATTTTTGGGCCTCTTCTGAAGTAAAAGTCTAGGTTTTGGGATTGCATATTACACAATATTACATATTAAATGCATATTATACAACATACATATTTATTTTTTGTACTCTGGGGTGAAACAAGCTTCCAAACGGTTTAGTTTTTTATTCCATACACATGTAAAAATCTTGGCCCTGACTGACAAAACCAGTTGAAAACCTGTCGAATACAGCGGTCACCAAACTCGGTCCTGGAGGGCCGGTGTCCTGCAGAGTTTAGCTCAAACTTGCCTCAACACGCCTGCCTGGAGGTTTCAAGTATGCCTTGTTAGACCTTGATTAGCTGGTTCAGGTGTGTTTGATTAGGGTTGGAACCAAACTCTGCAGGACACCGGCCCTCCAGGACCGAGTTTGGTGACCCCTGGTCTAATACATAACTACAGTTTTTGCATGTCTACTCACCTCGCTGTACACCGGAGGTGGGCGTAATCTGAACTCCTGCACGTAGGCCATGAGGGAGCGCTGCAGCACGCCGCTGAGATCTTCCTCAGGTTGGACTGCTGTGGAGTTCTGGACTGCTTCCTCATCTGACACAACAGCGCTGTAATCTGGAGGAGCTGTGGTTAAAAAACAAACCAGACTCAAAGTGAGCGACATTTCACGGTATGAGGTCGCGTTTCAGGCTGATGAAAGAGAACGAAACCCAGGGTTGGGCAGAAACGTACGCTCAGGCTGCTCAGGGATGGCCATGCGAAGCCACTCCATGTTCACGCTGTACTGGCTGCTTACGCTAGACGTGCGACTGCCGAACGGATGCAAAGGGATGGTGCCCATAACCAAAGGAAGCTCCAGGGAAAGCTTGGATGTCCCAGGAACATCAACGCACACCTATGAAAATACAAAGTGATGTTTAGTAAGATCATTCTAGCAGCTTTAGTAGTTTAGTAGCTCAAAGTTCTCCAACTCACCTTGAGCATGTATTCCACTTTAATGATGCGACACTGCAGGATGGAGGGGCCAACTGGGGGGATTTTGATGGCGCGGCCGTGCCACATCTCTCTACGGCGTGCACCAACTATGTCCCCGCACAACGTGGCCACCACGGCCCTCTTCTGTTTCATGCTTCCCCTTGCGATGAAGGTCTGCGTCTGGGTGATGTAAGCTTTCGGCATCACGGCGCGAGACGTGGAGTTATCGAATTCAGCGAAGACTGGAATCACTTCACCCGGCGTGTAGCCCTTGCGGTCGATCTTTGCGGTGATCGACACCTGCCCGCAGTTGCGGTACCAGATGCGGGCCATCTTCTCTTGGGTTCCAGCTTGAGGCGCCTGAAGATAAAAACTCTGATTTAGCATGCACAAAACCATAAACCGAAAATAAAGCGACAGCCATTCTGAGCTCCTACCAGCAAACTCGGTGTGTTGATGTCAATGGGCTCGATAACCGTGAACTCCTTCTTGATCTTCTTGACGGTGGCCCATGGGCGATGCAGCTTAACCTTCACCCAGTATCGAATGCTGCCGTGCTTGCCCTCAAAAGATGTCACTAGGGTTCTGACAGACAAAACACTTACATTAACGCTCATATCCTTCCCAAATAAAGCTTAATGACAACATTTGTATGAGACTAATAAAGCAAGCAAGACTTACTCCTCTGGCAGCTGGAAACTGAAAGGGTACTCGTGTCGCCCGGCAGACAGGACTGTCAGTTCACCGTTATCTGGAGGGGAACAAGGAAAAGACACATGATCGCACCAATAAATCATAAAAGCACAGCACTAGGGGCTGTAATGTTAGAACTGAATGATGATATAACACAAAACACAACATATTTCGGTCTAGTTCATTCCAAAGCTTCAGGTTAAGGTTTTGTTGGTTAATAAAAGGCATAAAGTTGAACTTTGTCTAAAATGTTTCTCATTTAACCACAGCCTCTTATAATGACTGAAGTAGTTCTTCAGCAGCCATTAAACGCTGCACACCATAATAGTTAGCAACTTCACACATGAACAAATCTGCAGCTGTAGCATGATGAACCGGTCCACTCAAATTAAACACAAAAAACAATGTGAAATAAAGGGGTTATAGCATAAAAACTAAAAAAGAACAGAACGAATGCAGCGATATCAGATTAGTCAATCATCAACGATTCGTTTGAGGGGAATGTGTTCAATAAATCGGTTAATCCTAGAAAAACAGACCTGACTGATTCGTTATCGAGTTCAGTGCTTTTTAATTTAAAAAAATAACTCAATGCAAGAATACTTGTCTTGTAGTATGATTAACATTAACTGAAAGAGAATCACTAAAGTCCACACACAAGGCATTTAAGTACTTTTGAGGAGTGCTTGCAGGTTCAAACTATTTTCACTTTCATTTTGGTGAAAAAAGTGGTCAATGTGTTTTTTTTTTAATCACGTCCCACGTGAGAAAGCAAGTAACAGGGGTTTAGAGCGACATGGGGGAGAATAATAATACAGTTTTTATTTTTAGGTGAACTGGTTTATTCGCCTCAAATGAAAACAAGCTGGAACTCTTCAGCACATCTTCAAACTCGCGGTCTAGCTCAGGCAGCCCATAGCTTTAGAGGGTCTCTGGCTGTGAATGACTGACCTGCCTGCAGCAGAACCTCTCTCCGGTTCAGGTACTCCACTTCGTCGCTGTAGTTCTGCGTGTAAGCGGTGCTGGAGCCGGCGCTGCGAGACTCGGTCCAGTAGACTTTAGCGAAACCTTCAGCGTGCAACTTCAGCGACTCGACTTTACTCTCCGCCGAGAGCTCGAGCACAACCTTCCCCGAGACGACATCCCCGCTGCTGAACACCGGAGGACAGTCCAGCTCCGGAGAATCAAACACTATGTCGATCTTTTTCAGCTTGTCGAAAATCATCTTTGGTCTTGCAAAAGTTTGCAGCCCCTAAAGTGTGTCGAATTCAGACGTGCGAAGTCAAACAAAAAGCGAGAGAGGCGAGCTGCTCTTCCTTCGGGTGCAAAACAAAACTGAAGCTGTGCATGTTCCCTGCTCGGCCTTTAACTCGTGTGGGCGGGTCTTACTGATTTTATTATGTAAGGCCTATGGCGATGCCTGCTCATAAACTTCTTAACTGGGTGTGGATGGAGAGCTCGGATGATTGATGCGTACAGGTTCTTAGACAACAACAAGCTGACTGAGCATGCCCGAACCAGAGGAACCTCCCCGTGAAGAAGTTCAGCTAAACAAAACCGGGTTCTTTCTGTGCTGTTGTGCTACTTTCCCGTCACTCACTTTTCTGAAAGACGTGCATATGCGACGTTCCTTTGCACTCTGTATATAAACAATGTACGACAATGGAATTCTTACGGTTAGTCGGTTGCTTAATGAACAAGGTCTGCTTTTAACATATTCTGAATTTCTCAATAAATGTATGATCCCTGTGAGGCCAAAAGAACACTCCTTTATCTTTGATGCAATTCCTGGCAGAGTTGTATCACTATTACGAAATCCTGGATTTGATCCTGTAAACATTGATCACCAAACCAATTTTTGTAGTGATACAATATTTATTGGGGATGTTAATATTGTAATAGATAAATGTAGTAACAAATATATTAGAAATATTTTAAAAAACAAGTATTTGCCTTGTTCAACAATGTTTTGGTCGACTAAATATGAAAATGTCAACTGGAAAAAAAGTATGGTCAATAACAAATAGGTTTTTTATTAATAATAAAATTAGAGAGGTATCCTATAAAAGTTTACACAAAATTTACCCTGTCAAGGAGTTGCTTGAACGTTTTAATTTGAATATTGAAAACGTAGCAATGCCAAAGAATCTGTGACTCATCTTTTTTTTTTGATTGTATATATTCAAAAATGTTTTGGTTGGATGTTTCTAATTTCATTTCTAGGTTGTTTGGAACATATATATATATATGTCGTTTTATTTTGATTTTAGGACAATGTTGATTCCAAAAGTACGATATGCTTTCTTACACAACGTTTTATTTTATTTGGAAAATATCACATTCATGTGAAAAAATGGTCTAAAGCTAAGCCAAATTTTGAACATTTTATAAAAGAGATTAAACAATATGGCACCACATTAGACAATATTAAGAACAAAAAAAGCTAGAAAGACCCATGGAGCTTTTTGTTACTTTAAATTGTTGTAATTTTACCCCTGGCTTGAATT